CATACATCAATGGAAAGCCTATTTATTCAGCTTTCAGATGATGTATAAATCTCAATTTTGAAAATTTGACCCATATGACTGGTTTTGTGGTCCAGGGTCACAAATCACAGAAAAATAAGAGTAATCCCTTACTTTACTTTTTCAAGTAAAGTAATTAAATAACAGTAATTGCTTAGTAAAGCATTAAACTTAACACTGGCTGTGACACTACTTTATAATTTAGGCTACTTACTGGACACAAAAAAAAAATTTGCAAAAAGACAGTGTAGGCCTACATTTACAACAGTGTAAATGCAATTAGCATAGCCTTTGTATCCTTATTTGCTTCCGATTTTATTTGTTTTTTGTTTTACATTTAAATACATTTGAACTTTTGTGATAATTTTCCACAAATATGGTAACAATATATTAAAATTTCAGATGCACTGTGAAACTTGGGCATTAAAAACCCAAACAGATGTAGGCTACTAATAAAACGCTTTAACATTCCTTGGTTTCCTCTATATTGAACAAGAAATAGGCCTACGTGCATTTGTTAAAGGACTGAGAACTGGACTTTACGATCTTGCCTTAACTGACATTTGCTGTACCTGTGCCAGGGGTCATTCTTTGCACGATCTGTGAACATCAAACCTCTCCTCCCCTCCCCTCCTAAACGTTGCCCAAATCTCTGGTTGCGTCACGAGCCGTGTCTGAGTCTAATTAAAACCATATTGAGAAAAACGTAAATACGACCCAAGTTCCTCCCTCGGTCTTCTGCTGCAAGAGAGCGTGGACTCGGTACGAGCGGTTTCAAGGGACCAGTGCTGACCGAAGATCTTCTGTGGAAAGTTGCAGTTCATTTTGTAAAGTTTATATATCACTAGACTATATTTGTAAATAACGCAACAATGGCTGGTTTGAAGGTAAGTGCACTTTGGACTGCATGGACGAATGCTTGTCTAAAATAAATAATTGTAAGTTCAAATTTACAGCCTATCGTAATTATATCGTAACAAAGTTTTATTCACAGTCTTTTTCAGGTTGTATCTAGTTTTCATTAAATACTTTTTTCTTCATTTTTATTTAGACATAAACCACTTACAAAACACAATGCTTGTTTATTATGTTTAGAACAGCACTGTAAACTCACCGGTACGTCCTAAGAGCATAGTGAGGTCCGAATCTCTCTTTTGAGTCGGATCTTTTTTTTTTAATAGGTAGAGGCGATTCACAAAACCGGTCTGGACTGCGTTTCCAAATACCATCTTCAGCCTAAAAACCTAAACCTAAACAAACGTCTGAAGATGCTTTTGGGAAAAGCCGCCCTGAAAGATTTATTCACGATTCACGAGACAATCTATCTTTAAGAGCAGTTCACGAAATGTAAAATGAGACTTTATAGTTTCATAAGCTGAAATATAATGGAACAACAAACTTAAGTGGGACACATGACATTACAGCAAACACCAAAATAAATGAAACCTACACAGTAAGTATATTACTTTATTTGGAATGTTTCAGAACATGTAGATATACAATGCCAGGGACATCGATCAATTGATTGTCTGAATCGATTCTTTGAAACGAACTGTTCAAAAGAACCGAGGGGGAGGGGGCGTTCCAACTTGGCCAATCAGATCACTGGAATCTGCAGCTGCCCAGATGAGGTTAATCTCGGCTCTAGGCTACATAAACTGTAGGCTGCACAAAACCTTTAGGTTTATGCATGCCTTTTCAACAGAATGCTCATGTTTTATAAAACAAAAGCCTAAAGTCAAAGTAAATCTGACAATCTATTAAAGTAGACTCTTGCTGTTCTCAACTGTCTACCTGTAGAGAACTAGAATGTAAACAACTGGCATCAACTAGCTTGTCAGATGTTTTTAGATTAAATTTTAAAGTGAAATCTTAATTCCTATGAGGCTATTGTCATATTTAACTCCTCCATATGTTATGTTTTCAGTTATACAGACTTATTTGAGATGTTTAAGAGCTGCTCTGAATGCATCTGCAGATGCACCATGACTAAGCACATTTGTTGTTGCTCACTCATAGGAAGGGGGAGATACTCAGATGGCCCTACACAGCTTCTTTTGTGTTTTTCTATTCGCTTTTATCACATTTTGCCACTTAGTTTGTTATTAAAAAATAAAATTAACTTATACTTAATACTTTTCAAATAACTCTGTTGTAGTACATGAGCGGTTTTGGCAATGAGTTTGCCTCCGAGGACCCTCGCTGTCCAGGATCTCTACCTGAGGGACAGGTAATACCACAACTTTTATCACCTACCTGGCCTGACCAATTAACTGTACACATCAACTCAGTTTAGTTTATTGTTTTATAGAACAATCCACAAGTGTGTCCATATGGCCTATATGCTGAGCAACTCTCTGGTTCTGCCTTTACTTGCCCACGGTCGACCAATAAGAGAAGGTATATATAGATTTGCAAAAAAAAAAAAAACAACAGTATGTAACATAACAATCAAACCTACACCCTTATGATTTGTAAGAAATGATCACAGCAAACCTTTATGTTTATAGCTGGCTGTACCGCATTTTACCCTCTGTGCGCCACAAGCCTTTCACTCCGATGAGCTGTGGAGATCTCACAGAGAACTGGAATGACGTAGAGCCCGACCCCAACCAGCTACGATGGAAGCCGTTTAACATCCCCAAATCTTCTGAGATAAAAGTGGATTTCATATCGGTAAAAGATTTCATCCTTGTCCACACTGCTCATATGGCCTTCATATTTAAATAATTCTCAGTGATGCCCAATGTCATCGGTTTGATATTTTCAGGGTCTACACACAGTCTGTGGAGCTGGAGATTCAAAATCTCGGAATGGAATCACCATCCACATGTATACCTGCAACACTTCAATGACTGACAAGTCAGTTTGAATTGGATTCAACTCACCAATGATTTCATTTCCCTTTTCTGTACAGTGTTTTTTAAAATTGGTACTTTTTTTTCATAGATGTTTCCAAAATGCAGATGGTGATTTCCTTATTGGTAAGCTTGTGGTCTCATTATTTATGCCATATTTTTTTTTTTTCAGGATTAATATGTAATTTGGATTTTTGTAGTAGTAGTTCCTTTTGATTAGGACCGCAATTTGTGTTTCAGTGCCCCAACAAGGTGAAATCCTGATTACTACAGAATTTGGGAAAATGATGGTGGAGCCCAATGAGATTTGTGTCATTCAGGTGACACTCTAATATCTATAAGAAAAAGTTGTCGGTACAATTGTTTTTTTTTTTAAACAAGTCTCTTGTGCTCACCAAGGCTGCATTTATTTGATCAAAAATACAGTAAAACAGTAATATTGTGAAATATTACTACAATAAATAAAATAACTGCTATTTTAATATTTTTTAAATGTAATTTATTAATGTGATGGCAAAGCTGAATTTTCAGCAGCAAATACTTGATTCTTTAGTCACATAATCCTATTAAATTATTTTCAATGTTGACAACAGCTGTGCTGCTAAATAATTTTTGTGGAAACCGTTATACATTTTTTCCCCAGAATTCTCTCATGAATAGAAAGCTCAAAAGAACAACATTTATTTGAAACAGAAATATCTTGTAACACTATAAGTGGCTTTATTGTCACTTTTGATCAATTTAATGCATCCTTGCTGAATAAAAGTATTAATTTACTTCAGGAAAATATACCTTACTGACTCCAAACTTTTGAATGGTATTTTACATTCAAGTTTGCATTCAATATTCCAATAAACAACACAGAAACTTTTTTTGCGTACTCTTCTGTTTCCCAGCAAGGGATGCGTTTTAGTGTTGATGTGTTTGGAGAAACCAGGGGGTACATTCTAGAGGTGTTTGGGGCCCACTTTGAGCTGCCTGATCTGGGTCCTATAGGTATGTACAACATAATTTATTTTTTAATGCCTTTGAATAACAAACTTTCATAAGCTGCTGGAAAAAGTCTATTAATTTGGCTGTGCATTGCAGGGGCTAATGGACTGGCTAACCCTAGGGACTTCCAAACACCTGTGGCTTGGTACGAAGACCGTACTGTAGCCACAGGTTACACCGTTGTCAACAAGTACCAAGGAAAGCTCTTCTCATGTCAACAGGTGCCGTGAAATGATTGCGTCAGTAGTAATCCCCATTGCTAACATTGCTGACATCAATGAGGCACTGAATGTTAGATTACACACAAAATGTACAATTTGTCCATGCAGGATATGTCTTTAATAAGACCAAGATTTCAAGCATCATTCTGCACTGAATTTATTTCCGTCTTGACGAGTGAATAATTGACTTGTTATGGCTGTCAGGAGCAAATTAGAGACAGCAAAAGTAGCATCACAAGGCAGTATCACTCATTGTAATGAAAAAAAAAAATGCAGCGAGCACGCATCTATAGTTGAGCACACAGGTCTCGCCGTCTGTACTCTCTTAAATGGTTTACGGTCTGTCTTGAAGGAGAAGGTACAGCTTATCCTGTTGTTTTGTCCTCCAACTAAGTGCTAAAATTGCTTAAATTAGCTTATTATTTGCTTGACTGGGAAAATATGTTTGTGTTTTGTGAGTATGAGTTTTTTTCTTCATTTTAATAGAGTCTGGTAGAGTTATCCTGTGAACTGTTATGCCTGTGAGATTACAAACCTCAGGGTCCCAGAAACCCCAGTGTGCACGGAGAGCGTCTTTGTGTGACTGAATGTAACTGAAAAAAGAGTCATGTTCTTGTTTGAGTCACTGGATTTGTGTTTGTGTGTACAGTTGTTACTGATGTTTTACCTGGTGTGTGTGTGTTTGTACATGTGGGTGGGTTGAAACAACAGGAGGGCGCATGAGGGTCAGGACAGCAGGCAGTCTCTGCTGTAATGAATTATATTGATTTTGAAGGCAGCATTCAAAATCTGTCTGCTGCAACATTATCAAGCGAAGGGTGTATAAAATTGCGGTTTTTAACGAAGACATTTCTTCGCCCCGTAACCTACTATTTCAAGTGCAGGAGCGTCAAAACAAAACGATGCCGTTTAAACGCTTTATTATTGAGGGCATTGATCGGACGTCTTAGTGTTTGGCGTTTGACATTACTATTGATTATTTACTCAAAGCCTACAGAAATTCATTACGTGGTGTATTATTACAGTACCCATGTTTTGTCATTTTAAATGTGTTCAAATAGGACTTTTCGCCGTTTAATGTGGTGGCATGGCACGGAAACTACACACCCTACAAATACAACCTGGAAAACTTCATGGTCATCAACTGTGTGGCGTTTGATCACGCAGTAAGTAATTTGCTTCATTTGACGTCTTATAATCACTACATTTGAACTGTCAATCAAATTACCTGAATCTTTATTTCCAGGATCCGTCGATTTTCACCGTTTTGACAGCCAAATCCACACGTCCAGGTGTGGCCATTGCAGATTTTGTCATCTTTCCTCCTCGTTGGGGTGTAGCTGATCACACCTTTCGGCCTCCTTACTACCACAGTAAGTCTGAGGTGGTGACTACATAGCCTACTTGTATTAAAACCAAATGAAATTTCAAGCGGTTAAAGAGCGCCCTCTGTCTATGCTAACAGGGAACTGCATGAGCGAGTTTATGGGGTTAATTAAAGGCCACTATGAAGCAAAGGAAGAGGGTTTCCAGCCTGGAGGAGCCAGTCTCCACAGCATCATGACTCCACACGGCCCTGATGTCGACTGTTTTGAGAAGAACAGCACAGCTATTCTGAAACCAGAGAGAGTTGCTGAAGGCACTATGGTAATGTTCAAATGGTTAGTTTTGAAATACATCATGTAAAAGGCTAGATGACGTACTAAATAATGCTGTATCCAACAGGCATTCATGTTTGAGTCATCCTTCAGCATGGCTGTGACCAAGTGGGGATTGGACACCTGCCACCATCTCGATAAGAGCTACTATGAATGCTGGGAGGCTTTACAAAATCACTTCAATCCAAACTGGAAACCCAGCAGCAAGTAGAACATGGTTACACCTCAACAGTCATCATATTTGTCTGACATGTGGATCAGTGATTCACAATGGTTTTATCGCTAGAATTGAGAGTGAACCAGAGATGTTCTGTGATAACAAAATAAAACATGCTATTGGAATATAACCAATAAAACAAAACAGAGTGTTTCTGCAGATTTTATAAAGATACATTTTAGACATTATAAAGACCTTTTTTAAGAAAGAAAATGTAAGGAACACAGTACATCAAAATGTAAATGTCTAGGGAGCACACCATGAGTTGTATTAGCAACACTTTAAAGTTTGAAAATACAACATTCAATAGGTCTCCATTACTTTTTAATTAATTTACCAAAAAATAAAAATTTCCAAAACCATTAATATATGGAAATAACTTTTACTGCACGTGTCCTTAGTATGTTTGTTTGTCTTGATTTCAGTGCAAATGTCTAAAGATGCCTAAAAATGACAAGATAATAAGTCTTGTATTCTGTAACTGATCAACATGTTTATGATTAAAACAAGAATACATATCTGCCAATGGTTTAAGAAAATTTAATGGTTTATATACCACATAAGCTCACATAATTCTTTCAGAAAACAAGAATTCTTATATACATTTTGCATCTCAAGTTGTATCTCATGCATCTGGATTTAAGTATGTTAGATATTATATCTAGACAATACTGAGAAAGACATTCAATTTTGAACAATGCATGCAACATTTAATGCCATGATTTATACATCATGGCACCTTTATACATTTTTAGGACGTTCTGCTCTGACCTTTTTAAAGCCTTAATTTTAGACCTGCAGAAACCCTGTTGTGAAATTACAAAAATACTGTGATTTCTTGTTTTTCTTCAATAACAGTGGTAAAGGAAGTTTCAACAATAAAGTATTTTATTTAGTATATAATTACAAGTACTCTGTGTTACAATAAACAGTGAAATCATTTTTTTTTAGGTTGACAGGTTATAGGGGCGCTCATAGGTCCCTGCCTTAATCTTGGCCTCCCTTTTGTCCTGGAAAGATGGGGAAAACAGTACTGATAAGATGCGTGTTAAATATCGCATGCGATTTATCGTTCAGCCCTAGTTAAAATGATATAACCACTGCAACTTTGACATCATCAATACTGAATAAGAAGTGAATTTATACAGCTTCAACTCACCCTGTCTGTTTTAAACACCACATACAAGACGAAAAGGGGGAGAACTCCAAACAAGCCACCAATCAATGAAGTTTTAGCAGTTGGTCTGAAGTAGTTGTTATTGGTGCGTGCATATGTCCACCGTGTAAGAGCAGGATCCTCCTACAAATAAAAACACATGGAGATTGATGACTAGATCAAACTGTTTAAATGTGTCAGGTTACCTTCTGGAAGTTTCAATAATGCATTTGTCAGGATTGTAAAAAATAATGTGGCAAACAACACACCCAGGAGGATGCATTCTGAATAAGAGTATAATCTGTTCGAAATTTAACAAATCACATCTTTTCACATAAAGACTATAGAGCCATTTGGATCAAAACAAGCTGGCAGGCAGTAACTGCTAGCCATCGATCAGTGAAGGTCACTCACTGCAGATTCATTATAAAACAAACAACCTAGTTTTCTAAAAACATGAATGTAGACTAAATAATTAATTACTAAAACGTCATTAAATTATAAACTAGTACAATATGAAAAAACTGTCTATAGCTTAACTGTAACTGTTTACCCCATATATGATATTTGGTTTGTCTTACAATCAGCTCTTTCCGATGAGGATTGTTCAGCTGCTGCAGATACTGCCTCTTCAGTTGAGCCCGCAGAGCTGCTCTCTTCTCCTCAGCCCGCCGGTAATCAGGTGAAAGATTGAAATATTCGGCTGGATCTAATGTTTTTGGCCGAGTGGCCAAAGGCGCCTCTTTGTAGGTCGCCATTACTGCGAATAGCAAAAAAAAAAAAACGCCCCGACAAAAAAAGATAAATCTGATTGGCTGCGCGCTGCGCGTCACATTCGCGAGTCTCGCGGTAATTCAGAATGTCTCGCCAAAGGATTTCTATGATACCCGATGATACCGCATCTAATTTCGAGTAAATCGGTGTTTTAGTTTAGTCATTAATATACCATTATAGTGTTTTGTTTAAATATTTTGAATTAGATTTTATTTATATTTTAATGTTTAAATAATTTAATTATTTTTATACTTCATCACTTTATCAAAATTTCACAATCCAGTTAGGCTCATCAACCATAACTCCTTCAAAAACAGCTAGAAACCTTGGAGTTGTGATTGACGATAAGCTGAATTTCTCAGACCACATTGCTAAAACTGCCCGGTCCTGCAGATTTGCTTTATACAACATTAGGAAGATCAGGCCCTTTCTTTCAGAACATGCAACACAACTCCTTGTTCAAGCTCTTGTTCTGTCCAAGCTGGACTATTGCAGTGCTCTCTTGGCAGGTCTTCCAGCCACTTCTATCAAACCTCTACAATGAATCCAAAATTTTTGACTGCTTTTATTGTCCTCATTTGTAAGTCGCTTTGGATAAAAGCGTCTGCTAAATGACTAAATAAATAAATATATAGCTACAGGCCTATAGTTTTTAATAGTATTTACTTTTAGTTATTGTAGTACTTCAAATTCAAGCGAAAAGGAAAAGCTTGTCAACTTGCTGAAATATTGATTGTAATAATACGTTTTTTTATTTCAGTTAATGTTTATTTTATTTCAAGTAATGGAAATGTGTGTTTTTATGGTTTTAGTTTTAGTTAATGACAACCCTGCATACCGCTGTAAAACATTTTTTTTTAGGAGAGGATAAATCATATTTAAAATATATTTGACCACACAAAACTAGTCGAAACACATGACCTGCTTTATTTATTCAAATTAATAAAGCAAATCAGATTGTGCAATATATTATTAGAGCTGCATAATACATTCCAGCCTCAGATGTGATCCAGATGTTGGCTCACCACTGGATCCTCACTGATCTGAGGAATCTCACAAATATCACGCACAGAGACACAGGCCAAGTCCTTCTGGTCACTCTCCGACAGCCTATCTATAGTGAGAAAAGTAGAAGTGTGGATACCCATTTTGGCCAGTAGAGGAAGCTACAATGCAACAAAAGTGTTTATTTCATAAATAAAGCTTAATGAAGGAACACCCAAAAGTCTTACCTTTGATAAATATGCAGCATTTGCTGGTACCCAAATTCCTCCATTCATTGATATACCTGAGAGACAAGCAAATATTCTAAATGGGATATTTTATGACTACCATGATGATGAAAAAGTGATGATGCCAAGTACAGTATATCACATCTAATGTGATATTAGCTCAATTACTCATCAAAATTGAGAGCTTTGGTCCATTCGAGCAGCTCATCTACGTCCTGCTCAGAAACTGAATCTGGTCCAATCTGTTCAAAGGAATCCATCAACTCTGTGGATTTTTGCACCAGCAGAGCTGTTTCGCTGTGTTCTGTAGGAGATTGCAGGAGACCCTCAGAATACCTGTGCACAAGATCTGTGTTTACTATTATGCCATCATTCATAACGTATTTCCAGTTTTCTCTATGATTAGCTCTGCAGAACACATCTTATCACCTATCACAAACAATTAAACAGCTACTTTAAATACATTTTTAAAATACCTTACATTTTTCTCATCCATTCAATTTTCCGAATCTTCTTTTTTCTTGCAACATCTTGTCGCCGACGGATTTTGCAGTGATGGAACTGTATCTTCTTAACATTGGTATCTTGAGTTATTGGGTCTTCAAACACAGAAATCTTTAATCAAAAAGGCAGTGATATAATGCTTAGGCAACATTTGTATATTTTTCTGACTGTTACAATTTAAATTGTACATGAAACAGTAGAAATTAGTCTCTTATGCTGACCAAGGCTGCATTTATTTGATCAAAAATACAGTAAAAAGAGTAATATTATATTGTGTAAAATGTAATTTATGGAGTGCAGTAATGGCTGCTGAATGTTTGGTTGGTTATGTTTTATTTACTGAATTGCACTGATACACAAAAGGTAAAATTAAAATGAAAGTATTATGACTGGATATGTCACCTTGCAAGACAAAATCCTCCAGCCATTGTTCTCTACCCGCTGGTACCACCCAGAGTGATCATCCCTGTCATTGATCATCAGTCGGCCATTATGAATCTGGCTTGGAGCAGGTTTCTTTAGCTGTGTGTAATCTTTAGGACTGGAGGCACACATGTCCACTATGGGTGCACGAGTGTATATTTTAAAGTAGATGTTTGGAGGATAGGTTGGCTGGAATTTTATAAACATTAGTAAGTAATTTGCAATTTGCTTATAATTCGATTTTCAATAACGTAACCTTCTAGAGCAGAACACAATAACACATTACAGCATGTTCTTGAGTACAAATGACCATCTAATCATGGAAAGATGAATAACATCAACACTCACCCCACCCAGTCTGAATCGGATAAGTGCCCCTGAAGCAGCATCCAGAATATTAGCCTACAACAAAGCATTCAGGCATATGATTAAAAAAAAGAAAAAAAAAAAGAGGAAAAACATCTCAATCTTCACACATGCATTGTCACAAACTTACCTCTGCAGGGTTAATAAATCTAAGAAGGAGACGTGGATCCCCTTGATTATGAAAGCTCACTAGTTTCTTGAGGTGCTTGAAAACAGCAGTATCCTACACGTGACAGACATAGTATGCACTACTTTTTATTTATGCATTAAATTATATGTTGGAGAAAATGTAACATTAAAGTTGAGTGTGATCACTAACAACATGTGCCCTCCATGCTCGCTGGATGATCCTGGCTGCTCTGCTGAAAGCCGTTTCCAGCTGTGGGACAAGTATGACATTAGTGTCTGATGTAGTTTCCCCAGCTGGAGATGTTGAGTGATGCCTAAAGAGGAAAAAATGATTGACAGTTTTTTTTTTCTATTGCTTGCTTCACTCATTTAGAAACGAGTCTGTATTTTTTGTTGTTGTTGTTGTTGCTGTATTTCATACCTGTCAAAAGAGTATGTGTGTTCAGTCATTTTCTTGTTCATGCTAGCACATGCTGCTAAAGGATAAAAAGAGAGAAAAAAGTTTATTCTGTGAAACATTAACATGGATTTATATTTCAATTAGCCGAAAAGGAGCAATTCTGAAAAAAAAAAAGGGAAAAGAGAAAACATAACCTATAAATTATACTGTTTAACTGAGGCTAAAGCTCTGCACCCTGATTAAGCCTTTGCCATGTCAAGGAAAGGGAAATGGGTTTATTCAACTAGGATTATGATTATTTTATTGGATTATTAGGCTACATTTAACTCCATCCTTATACTCAATTCAAAATTAAGACAGTTGGTTTTTATAAACCACTCAGCCCACAAAAATGTTACTTACTTGATCTTTGGAGTCCTCTTCATTCTCAAGAAACAGAATAGCCAATATGCTTCAAATACCTGAATTAAAATGTTGAATAGGTAGAAGGTGCTTAAAATAGGCAATGTATTAAAAATAAAGCGTTTTATCCTTATGATATCTATAATATTGAAATCAAACCCATCAGGTGATTATCGAAAAGTAAACAAAATCGTGAACTGGATTTTCACAATGACATCGCTGAAGTCGCATCAAGCTGAAGTAAAAAAAAACGTAAAGGGAGCTAAAACTGCAACCAAAGACTAAACTTAACATTGAAGGAGTTAAATAATAAAGCCTAGACATACAGTATGACTTGATTCCTTTATTGGGACGGGTGACTGCACGCCTACAACAGCCGTTACCAAAGCAACGTGAAAACAAACTCATTTAACTCAATGCTAGAAAGCTAGAAATACGAGATTCTATCCAAAATACATGTTTTAAATGGAAAACTATGTGTCGACTAGGAGATTAATTTAACTAAAAGATTCGTTCAGTGGCCTTTTCAGCAGATTACATCGTTACGACAGTAGGTTGCGAAAAGTTAAGGATTGTGACATTGAATCGTTCACTAATTCGTAAAAAAATAATACTCAAAATTCTGACCTTTGACGACAGTCGTGATTTTTTTTTCTAACAAAACAGACCTACTGCTTGATCCGCAAACCTGTCAACCATTACTGAAACATCGATCAAATTAGTTGCATCACTCATATAACTGTTCATTGTACAATTATGGCAGGTTGTGACACGTAACAGTGTCGGCCTGTTTTAATGAGCTGCAATTAAGAGTTTCTGTGTTATTAGAGAACAAGTTTACTAAGACTAGAGTGTACTTGCTAATCAAATTTTAACATAGCAGTTACCGTCTTGTCCAAAGTTAGTCATTTACAGTCATTTTTACAAGTGATCAATATTCTTCTACTTCTGTGTTAGAAAAAATACAATTTAGTCAATATATTAAATGTTCATAAATATAACTGTTTTAATGAAGACATTCAAGAAATGGCCTTACAAAAAGGACCTTACATATGTAGGCCTATGTTACAAAGCATTTAGTAGTACCGTAGGTCAGTGCTGCAATTGACAGGTCTTATGGAGGTCCCTAAGGCTATAGGAGAGAAATGATGCCCCAACCCCCTGCCCTGCATAATAAATTACAATAAAAGATCAATTAAAATTACACTGAAAGCCACACACAAACATGATGCACACAAACAACAAAATTAAATTATACAGCAAATAAAATCAACCGTAAGGTCTTTTTTTTTTTAAGAATGCTTAGTTCATCTGTGGTATGTCTTTTGCAGATTGTGAGAGGTCATGTGTTTGAACCTCAAATTAACAAGTCGTGGATGAGGATCAGCCACCGTTTTCAATAACACTTTCATACTTTTAACAATAATATCAAATGGACAGCAGACATCTGTTACAACATCTTCTTTACAGACTTAGCCATAATTAATTTAATTAATGTGGAATCATCAGTGTTGCGGGCACCAATATTACATTTTTCTATTTTCTATATTTTTTCTGACTGTTAAAGGAGCAGTATTGAAAAAAATTCAAATACATATATTAAACATAGTTGGGGTTCAGTTTCTTGGTTGGCAGCTTCTGACTATATAATGTCGGTCAGGGAAATAATGTATTGTGACTGACACGCTTTTCTTTCAAATGCCACAGTGAATGAAACAGCCAATAACCTGCAGGAGGCAGGCCTCAATAAAAGGAATGACATGAGAATTCACCATTTCAAAGCCTCAAGATCCAGAAAATATGTATATGCATATGTATAAAAAACTAATGAAACAGTGCATTGTACTGTATTGTAAATACATTCATAATGAAATCAAACATTGTTATCCTCAAGCACTAAAGAATTCAAAAACCCATTATATTTAATTTATAACAAGAAATATGAAATCAACACGGTCTTACGGTTCTGATATAATTATAATTCCTTCTATTCATATGCAATCTGGATTTCTAGTTTTTTTTACAATTTAGATTGGTTTGACAGAGACCTAATTTTGCTGCAGCTTTGTCATAGAAGACCCTATGCATAGAATGCCCCCAGTTTATGTAACATGATGGAATTGAACAACATACAATTCTCTCTTCTAAAGTTCTGTTTCTACCGCATCACCATTATCAAGATAGTATTCATCATCGGTTGTGGTGTCAGAATCAGACTCCTCAAAAACAGTCATGCTGGTTGTGTAGCTCCTTGATGACAGGATTCCACGAGGAGGAGACAGATTTTCTGGAGTTGTCCATATGGGGGAAGACACAGAAGGAGCCTGGGATATCCGACGAGGTGAAGAGGACATAGTTGGAGATGGAGGTGGGGTTGGGTCTGCATCATCATGATCAAGATCAAGATTATCTGTATATACAGATTGAGACTGTTTACCAGTGATAGGTTTTGCATCATAGATTGGGGAATGGCTACTACTCATTGGAGAGTCAACTATTGTATAATTCCCCTTTGGCAGAAAGTCATCCAAACTTGAGAGGTCGCTGATGCTGCTTGTTGAGATTCGTCCAGGACCTGATGGGCGGCTTGAAACCACACTGCTTACTGAGAAAGATCGTCCACTGTGTAGACCATACTTTAAATCAGCACATGATGAGGACAAGCGAGACCTCACAAGGTTTTGCTGCACAGGACTCTTGGTGGCGCTCTGAGGAGAGAAGTCATCGGACTCACAAAGTGAATTTGTTTTTTTGCTCAATGGACTATAAAACACATTGTCATTCTGAATGTCTTCTGAATCAAAATCAAACAAATAAAAGGGCGATGGGGGACCGACAGAGGATTTTCTGTAATGTGGCAAGGTGGCAGAACGATTCATACTTTGGGCCTTTTGCCTATGTGGACTAAAGCTTCTTCCATTTTCATCGCTATGCCTCTTTTGCTGATCAACATTTAATTTATTCTCAGATGATTTCTTTAATGTTAAGGGTGACAAGGACCCAAAAGAGCCTTTATCGGTGGTCAAAGATGAGTTGGGGGCCATCCATGTGCACTCAGAACCCTTTTGTTCAGTTGTAGATCTGTTTTGCCAGTCCATATTTAAAGTATTCTCAGATTTCCTGCATGTAAGTGGCGACAAAGACCCAAAAGAAGCAAAAGAGCCTTTATCGGTGGTCAAAGATGAGTTGGGGGCCTCCCATGTGTACCCAGAACCCTTTTGTTCAGTTGTAGATCTGTTTTGCCAATTCATTTTTAAAGTATTCCCAGATTTCTTTAATGTAAGTGGCGTCAAAGATGCAAAAGATGCTTTATTGGTGGTCAAAGATGAGCTGGGGGTCTCCCATGTGCACCCAGAACCCTTTTGTTCAGTTGTAGATCTATTTTGCCAGTCCATATTTAAAGTATTCTCAGATTTCTCTAATGTAAGTGGCAACAAGGACCCAAAAGAGGCAAAAGATGCTTTATCAATGGTCAAGGACGAGTTGGGGGCCTCCTGTGTGGACCCAGAATAATTTATTTCAGCCTTAGACTTATTTTGTCCACTCATATTTAATGTACTCTCAGATTTCTTTAATGTTAGTAGTGGCAAGGAACCTAAAGAGGTTTTATCAGTTGTTAAAGAGGAGTTAGAGGGTGCCGGATGGCTCTCAGAACATGTTTTCTCCTCTGTCTTGGGACTTTCAAAAGTCTCAGTATCTGAGGGGTGCTGAGTGGGACTCTTGTTCTTTTTTGGTAGTGTGTCAAGTGAGCTGTCTGAACGTTTGACACCAAATGTCAGTTTCAAGCGATTTAACATCTGGTCAATCCTGCTGCTCGTTCTAAACACTGGCAAATGTCTTTTGGTTTTTAAATACTGGGGACTAACAACCTCTTTGTCTGGCAAAGAAGCTGAAGAGAAGACAGCTTCTTTGTCTTTCTTAACTCGTGAACTAAAGAGGCCTTTTTTTGAATTGGAACTTTGCATTTCCTGCAATCTCTCATGCATATGCACAGCAGATATATCTTTCTCAGCTGTCAGTGGAGTCTCACTTTCTACTGTGAGCTTATCAGGTAATAAATACTTACCTTTCTCACTCAGCTTGTGCTTGGGGTATGCATTACCCTTATCAAGCTGAAGTTCTATCAGGCCATCATGCTCCTGCTGAAAGAAGTTGTTAGAGCCTGTGTTGGGCTGCCTTGGGTGTGGGCTTATATTAGCGCTTTGGCTTTCCATGACAAAACTTGCATCTGGTGCAGTTTGTAAGAGGCATGGCTGGGCAGGTTTGTGATTATCTAAGGCGCTTGTGTAAGCTTGAACTGCTGTCCTCTGTTCTCTGTTAGAAGAAGCAAACTGTTCCTTTGGTCTTCTTATTATGCTTGTGTATGTGGACAGTGAAGAACTTGGATCACTTTTTATGAAGTCTGCAGGAGTGGTTACAATACCATAAGATGTAGTTTGGGTATGAGTTTTGGGCACAGGTGGAGAGCGTAGTTCTTGTAAAGTGTTGTTGAGTGTAGGTCGTGAGGAGATGAGGCTAGAATATGGAGATGTACTGAGACGAGGTGCTGATCTTCGTCCAAAATCAGGAGGCAGAGATTGAGCTGGTGCTATATGAGAGCCATAAGAGCTTCTTTGTAACACTTGTACCTGTGGCACAAATGGGTTGAAGTCAAATGAAAATTTTGAGGGAAGTGTTCTCCGGTCACCCTGCAGTGTTACACCTCCATCTTGCTTAGGAGGCGATGTTTCACCTCTCTGTATGTGGGAAGAAGGGGTGGAAGGGGAAGGGGTGGACACCGCCGGGCTGTACTCCCTTAGGTATGAATAAATGCTTGGTACTCTTACACTTCTGAGAGGTCTGCTTGGAGAAAGAGGGCTCGAAAGATCCATCGTGCTTTGACTTGACTGAGAATATTTCTTAGAGTCCAGATATATATTTGTGGGACTTGTTCCATCTACAGAAGAGTCTTTCCAGGGTGAGTAGTTGAGCCTGTCTGTGAAGGTGCTTGTGCCCGAAGAACTGCTGGCTATTATATTGTGTGTGCTTTGTGATTTTAATTTTTGGACATTAAAGCCAGATTGTTGAACATTAAAATTTGTTGAATCTTTGGGAGAAATTGTGGTATCTGGAGATACTTGTTGTTTGGTCATATTGGAGTATTGCAGGTTGGTGTTGTTGGCAGTATTTTGTTCCACTGCATCTGTGTCTTCTGTACTGGAATATTCCCTCAAAAGAACTGAATAAGAACGTTCTTGGGCTCTGAGAACCCCAAGTTGGCTGGTTTTGGTTGTGGAGTGTGGGAAATGTTCCTCCTCTGCTTTGGCAATAGAAGCTTCTAGTCTCTTTGAAATTTCTGTCTCTGGTTTGTTTAGAAACAGTGATGCCCTTAATGGCACTCTACTCCTAATTCTAGGGGAGAAAGGGAACTGACTGACTGGTATTTCCTCTGTACTTGCAGGAGTGTCTGGGTATTCGGGGGTTTGGGCATCAGCGGTAACAGGATGGGCAAATGATGGAGTTTTCAGAACAACTCTGCTAGGCAACGTAAGGGACCTGACAGACCTAGTCATCTGAGTCTCTGATTGTGTGGGCTCAGCACTGGAGTTTCTCAGATTTGACCTCCTCAAGGAAAGAAGTAGGCTGCTTGTTGTTGGCTTAGAGCTCAATGATTTGAAAGACTCATGTTCATCTCCAGTGTTTGATATTCTGTACCCTGAATGGGCCAGAGGTGTGGGAAAAGGATGCAAATCTGTATTATTGTACATCATGCCCACAGAGGAGGACTCAGTAATGGGTCTCTTTGGCTGTATTTTGGTTGTGATGTTCGGGGAATTGTTCTCTTTTTGCCAGTCAGGAGAGTTATAGCTGGTTCCTGCAGCCAACTGCATGTCATTGTCATTGGCCAACATGTGTTCAGATGGTCGCCTCTGGGAAGGAAGAAACGGTTGTTGCAGCCGATCCTGGCGAAATAAGGTAGATGGGTTCATATTCTGTCCACAATCTTGGGGTTCATGCTGTACTTCGTTTCCGCTTTGCTTGGGTCTTCGAAGGCGGCCACTCCAAGGTGGAGCAAGAACTGAGGCCAGGGCTGATGATAACATAGCTGATGTAGGATTGATATATCCAGGTTCTGGCTCAAGGGTATTTTCAGAATGAGGAGCAGGTAAATAGTCTAATGACAAGACCTGGTTTGCAACTTCTGAATGGTGTGCAAAAAACTGGGAATCAGTGCTTGCTTTTAGACCATTGTCCACTTCAAGGGAGGTCAGATTACTGTGGTATTGTGGAGTTGTTACAGCATTCTCTCTACAGTCATTGGCTCCAGATTCCTTGTTGAATTGTGTTTGAACCTCACAAACAGGATGAGTAGAATCTCTTTGTGAGTTGTTGTGGACAATTTCTGTTTGTTCATGAAGGCCTATGTCGTGTTGTATTCCTGTATTTTGTCCCGGCTTTGTCCCACATTGATGCAGAGTGGTAAAGCTGTCTTCATCAAAGCTTGCTTTTGGCCCATCCCCATTCTTAAATATACCAGTTGATTTGCCACATTGGTCAGTTTGTGAAAGCACGTCCCTTAGCTGTCAAAACAAGCAACAAAGCTTTTGATTATTGCCAAAAATTACACAAAACACAGGCACTAATTCAAGCACAGTAGCATTTGTACATTTTAGTCTGCTAAATTGCATTTCAGAGTTGCTTGGGAAAATTGCAAGAAATGCTTCTCACATGTATTTGAACTATTTGAACAAATCGCCACTCCCATTCCATAACTGTTTAAACAGACAGTTCAACTTCACAGTTGAGCTTTACATTCCACTGAAAAATACTCTGCATGTCAAAAATGCAAACATGGAGTGGAATGTATTCAAAGGGCAGTACAATAGAGATATTTCATTATATTTAAGATATGATTGATTAGTAAGACATATAGATTGTATCTTTACATCAGACATTCTCTTGCTAAAAAAATAAACAATCCAACTCTCATGTCTGCGTCTTAGCTTGAATGCTTACCTCTGTGTGGTGTTGATTAGCTGTGTTCTTTACGGCTTCATGTGTGCTGTAACAGTCACATTTGAGAAAATAATTTTTAATTAGCATATGATTTTTTAAATGAGCAAGCATTATAAAAGTATGTAGATGAAAAAATACCTCCATGTTATATTTGATTTTCTCAGCAAAAGATAAGTTCCCTCAGGCAGATAAGCAAACATTGAAAACTATGACGAAAACAAATCTCTTGTCTAATTCAATGTTTCACACGCTACTCTTACTCCCTAAATACTTCTTCTAGTTCAACGTCTTTTATATATTCAGCAAGGCAACGCAGGAAAACAAGATCAACGACATTCCATCCTTTCTCTCAGTTTAAGCATTTTAGGAGTAAACAATTCATTGGCCTGACATGAAGGGAGGGGTCCATGGTTAAACTGTTTTAAGATTAGTACAGAGTGTCTCACACACATTAATGCATACAGTCAGATACACATACCACTTACACACAAAAAAAAACCCTGTTTAATATCTGCTTTGAAAAATGAGAGAGCAGTGATGATGTCATACCTTTTAAACAAGATACTGTAATACTACCCAATAAATGTCTATTCACTGTTTCTAAGATCAAGGTGTAAAGACTTTATAAAGGTGTAAGCACTATTTGAAAGCATGAACACACCTAGATACGATACAGCCAAACAGCAAATCTTTGCCTATACACTTTCACCCTATCATTCACCATCATTAAATCATGACTTATTGCTATATGAGGACTATTACTGCCAGTCATGGGTCGAAAGGGCATTTGCTGCTCTGGCTAGGACTGTGCAAATGACACAAAACACAAAGTTCTATGGCATAATTTACAAGACAAAAGATATTATTATGTGCAGTGTGTATTAAGTGGAATTACATTTTCATAAAACATTTACTAATAGGTAGACTAACAGTTTTGGAGTGAATGCTACAAATTTGATCATTCACTGAACTTGTTTATTATAGCAGTTGATCCAGTTTTATTATAAAATTGGATTTTAAACTAGATAAGCAATAATATTAGAATTTTGGTCAATGCCATATACTGATAATTATTTTCATGTTATAACCTATAACTGGTAAATGGCTGATTAAAATTATATATACAATTTGCACCTATACAATTTTGTTTAAAAACAAAAGTGAACACTAAACTTTTTAAAGCATGATGACCCCCCCCCCCCCCCCCCACAACAG